TTAGAGCAGAGTCACTTGAACCATGAAATAGAAACTAAATACTTAGTTACTAATAGGCACTATTTAGACACTATCACTGAACCAGAACAGTACAAAGAGATTACTTTGATTGTTAAAGTGGTCTCTTGGGTATTGCTTATTGGATCAAATAAACTGTTCTGGTTCAGTGCTAACGACTATTAGGAACTAATAGTCCCTATTAGTTAGTACTTTTTAGTTCTTATTTCATGGTTCATGTGACTCTGCTCTAAGACTCGATGATACGGCACCTACGAGCTATTCAAGGGAAATTTTTTCAAATAACATTGTCTTCAAACAAATTTGTTTTGCACATTCGTCTTTTGACTTTGTTATGTTATATTACATATTATTTTTCATTTTGTTAATGCAGTCTCAAATACTCTTCTAAAAGTGAAGACCTATCCCAGTTCCCGGCAAATAAAATAAATAGTCTGTTTATATTGTAGGCAGTGTATCACTCAGGAGTGACGTTTTATGTCAAGAAGAAAAAGAATAACACGTTTGTTAGAGGGTGTCAATGGAGGCAAGACCTTTCAGCCCCAGTGATGGTTTTTTTCATCAGGTCAACAGATTTGTGTTCACCTGAATGGTTATTCGACCTTTGTGTCTTTCATAGGCCGTCCCGTCATTTATTATATAGAAACCAATGATGACCTTGACAAAGCCAGCCATGTCTGATCAACAAGTCACAATGCGCTTGTCGTGAAACATGACTGGTTACGTAACATGTGCATCAATGTTTGACTATGTTGTTAAAGGACCCAAAAAATTGCTGGATGGTAGATTTTACTAGTTAACTGTTGTTTTAGATTTTCGTGACCTGATGATGCCCGGCGTCCAGCGAAAGCTGACCCTCAACTCTCATTTTATTGATTTAGGTGAATAAACTTCAAAGGATATGATAATGTTACGTAAGCTATTATTCTTTACTCCGACGAAGGATTAACGTCCGAAATGTCAGGTAACTTATTTCACCTACTTTTTTACGGTGTCAAATTTATCTTTTTACCGCACAAGGGCGTTATCTATTTCAATCTCTGTATAGTCTCCTCTCGCAGCCGTTAGGACGTTCGTTCCCAGGTCACTCCCCCCTAACGGGGGAAGTGACCTGGGAGCGAACGTCCTAACGGCTGCGAGAGGAGACTAATCTCTGTATGGCTCCTTACAAGACTACAAGCTTATCCACAGGAAACTAAAGTCTGTTAATCTTGACCTTTCAGTAGCTTAGACCAGTTAGCCAATCAGCGATGAGAATTGTTTCAACATTCGCATAGAAATTACGTTAGATAATACTGTCTGGTCTTTTATCTGAACGTTGCACGAAAGTCCAGATCTTTTAATTTTGCTTCTCTTTCTCCATCATGGCTAAGAATTGTACTATTAACATCTTGAACAAGGTATTTACTAAAGTCACAGCCCTTTTCTGCATGTCATATGCGGGTTTTGTCGAGGTTAATGAATCACAATTCATCTTGCCTTGTCTCTGTACTTGAAAAACATGATTTGTGAATGTCGATCGATTGGCACCATTTGTTGAATTGGATGCTATGGAAAAATGCTGAAATGGAATGTTTAAATGCAAATCTATTGAAATATTTCATTTCGTCAAAAAAGCCAATTACATTAGAAATGATTTGTTGACTTGTGCCTAAATACCGCGAACGTTTAGGACTATTTGAATTCAAAACTGCATTTAAAACAATTTTTGATTATTTTATTTTGCATACTAACACTACGTCCGGGCACTACGTGCACACTCCTTGTACTCTCCACTTGAACTATGGCAAAATTCCTGTTTTAACCGTCAGTTGCCGACATTGGAACTTATTATTGGAGGAAAAATCGATTCTAAAGGAATTTGATTCATGAGCTAATAAGCTCTCTTATTCCTTTCTCTAGTTTTTATTTTGGAAAAAAATAAAAAATTAAATCCTGGCACAGGGCCATATGTTTGTCTTTTCACCTATAATGAAACACTTGAGCGGCGGGTTGATCATTGCTATTGTTTCGAGGCTTACTTTGGCCTGGGACTGTACATGACAGCTTTCTACCGTATTTGGCTTGTGGCTTTCAATCGAATCTATAGTTTCACTCCGACAGAGATTTCTCTGGATTTCAATTTGAATTTTTTTATGAATGCACTATTTCAAAATAACACGGAACTCGATCGGAGGGGCGGGAAGTGTACAAATTTATACGTAAAAACCTTCTGAATTTCCAATCTCTTGCAGTTTGTCGAAGAGGTGGAGGAAATGGAAAAATGTGTCCTGGTTCCTAATCGTCTACAAGACATCGGACCTCGAAATCAAGTGTTAAAACTGTCGCAAAAAGAGGACGTGGAAGACGTTCAAGGACTGCACGACTTGTTTCTTGTCCTCAAAAACATCAAAAGCGAACTTACAACTGGTGAGTGAGCTTAAGGGCTGAAAACCTTACATTACTATTAYAAATCGCGAACCATTAGATGAATCACTGTCTAGATGGAGTTATGTATCCTAGTCAAGTCCCGTTCAATTRACATTATATAAACCATGGAAAAAAAGAATGAAAATTTGTCATTCTGTCTTGAAAAATCCAGTATAATGGATCTATAGTTCCTTTTTATAAGTCTTTTCTCATAAGTCMTTTTAGTTATCTATTTCCAGGGTCAGTGACATATTAGGTTTWTCACCTAATGAGATATTTTTTCTCATTACCTAGGTCATGGATTAGAACTTGGTAAAGATTTGAACCCAATCAAGACACACCTCCAAGAAATAAACAAATTATTGCTCAACATGTCAGAGCTGGCCAAAACTGTTAGAAACGAGTACAAGAAAGAATACGACTTAGTTTTTTAAACATTTGGATAGGAATATGACCATTGTGATTTTTGAAAATTA